TCATCTCCTGATTCCAGATGCACCAACCTCTTCTGTCCACAGTCAATCAGAATGCGATTGGTGGATAATCAATTCATCCCTAAGATCACATCCATATCCTTCAAAGGTAAACGATTAAGTTCACCTTGTACTGTCGTTCTTCTACGACAACTGGGCACCTTAAACACACATAGGAAGACACCACCAGTCCAGCTGCTGGTGTAGATACCCTTAATTCATAGGGTAGGTCACACACAGGTAACTTAAGTTTATCCATACAATTATTAGCAATAAAAGAATGGGTAGCACCTGAATCAAACAAAACTCGTAGAGGTATATCAGAGATAAAACACACACCTTGCACTAAATTCTCTGACCTCGATGCCTCTGCTCCTGACAAGGTAAATACCCATCCTGCAGCTCTGGATTTCGTGTCACTCCCCCTGGGTGCTAATGATGCCCCAACTGAGACTATAACATTGGGCTTCGTGGACGAGTCTCTAGCCATATGTCCTAGCTTACGGCAAGTGTAGCAAAGACCTGCCCGAGAAGTCCGGGAAGGATTAGTGAAGACATTTTGTGGGCACTCGATTCCCGTAATGAGGGCCTCCACATTGAAAACATTTTATCCCGGATACGAGATCCCGATGATCGAGGTGCTTGGGATAACACTGCCACTCCTGGAAGACTGGGGGCGTGAATAAGGCATCCTCCTCTCTGATCTACTACTCCCACTTGGGACCCCACTTGGGTGGGTCTTCATCACTCTGACTCCTCCCTCCTAGAGTCTCTCTATTGTCTTCGCTTTCTCCACCAGCTCTGGGAATCTCCTGATAGAGAAAGGAACCACCATGAGCTTGATCTCAGCCCTCAAGCTTTCCTCAAACTTCCTACAAAGCCACTGTTCTGAAGATGTACCTGTGTAGAAACGAGATAAGTGCTCAAATCGTACGGCGTAATCATGCATCGTCATATTACTCTGTCTCAGACTCAGGAACTCAGTCTCCTTCCGAAATCTAACACTGTCAGGGAAGTATTTCTCCAAAAATCTCTCACGGAAGGTTTCCCAATTACACACATTCCCACGTGCAATCATTATCCTTTGAGTCCCTGACCACCAGAACTCAGCCTCATCCACTAGTAAGTATTTTTTGAATGTCAATTTCCTGTCTTACGGGCATAAGGTAGCCTCAAAAATCTTCTCCACTTCACGTAACCACTTCTCTGCTGCATCTGGACCCAAATCTCCTCCAAAACGAGGCAGATTATGCCTCATGAACTCAGTCAATCCCATCTGCTCTGATTGGTAAAATCCAGCAGAGGATGATGCCATAGTTGGCCTCCACTGCGGGTAGGTAGCCTGTTGCTGCATGGCAGCTGCCAACATTTCCATTGCCCTGGCTAGGGCATCTACACTCGGTGGAGTAGGAGGTTGCGGTGCCATCTTATATCAAATGCAACCATGCAAACATTCACACAAACTCACATATCAGAGTATAATCACAACGGACTTATCATAGGGTCACTATACATCCCCACAGATTTACAAGGATACTACCGCTCTGATACCACTATTGTAACGATCCTAGAAATCGCTACTATAATGATGTCTTCGCAAAGTAGTAAACAAGTAAATAACAACATCTATTTTACATTATATTACTGTAATTGTAACATATATTAAAATTCCAGTTCACTAACGGAACTTCAAAATATAGTAACATAATTTATTTATATATTATAGATGTAAAAGTAGCTCCCTTGAAGCTATCTCACTGAACTATCCCTGCTGTCCAGTAGTCACATCACCATCTCTCAACTCCTGATCTGCTCCCACATAAAAGTGATCATTGCAGTCTCATCCACATGGAAAAATAGGGGTAAGTATTAAATAATTCGATATAATAAAATAGATATAGAAGTTATAATTATATATTATGATCAATTACGAAATTATCAACACACTAAGACACCTTCCAGAAGTATACCCTAACTATGCCCGAACTCAGAGGCTATCATCTGTGGGCACATTGTGATCGGTACCCGCAGTACCATTCTAACCACCCTCCACACAGAGTAGGATTACTGGCGCCCTTCATCACTCATACTGGAGTACCCCTCTGAACGCGCCACCAGTCATCCCCCCATCGACTTCTCACCACCTGATCTCGTAGTCTACCTGACCCGATCAATCAGTGATGTCTGGGACCTCATTCAGAATCCTCCGACATAGTTATTACACTAATATGCTCTGTACCACCCCGGGTACCATTCAAACATAACAAAATTTATTCACATTTGCCGGATTCTGGACCACCTGTCCTCACGGCTCATTCGGGTCAATAAAAATAGTATTTGACTGATTCCGGCACCAACCCTCCGGCTCAGCCTAGCCAATATATAACGTTTCAGGACTCGATTCGGGCATCAGCCCTCAGGCTCGGCTCGACCCACACACGTCACAACATACTACTTTTATTCTCTCTCTCTCTCTCTCTATATATATATATATATATATATATATATATATATATATATATATATATATATTTTTTTTTTTTTTTCTAAAATCATTTTCAAAATCATTTCCGAAATCATTTCCGAAACTATTTCCGAAACTATTTTCGAAATCATTTTTGAAATCATTAAATTACTATTTTGTCCTTAATATTTTCTTAAAATTCCATGTATGTCCCTAAATGACTATTTTACCCTTGGACATTTTTGAAAATTCCTTCCATGTCCCGAAAATGACTATTTTGCCCTTGGACATTTTCAAAAAGTCCTTCCATGTCCCGAAAATGACTATTTTACCCTTGAACAATTTCAAAAATTCCATTTATGTCCCTAGGATGTAAAATGACTATTTTACCCTTGAACATTTTCGAAAATTACATTTATGTCCCTAGGATGAAAAATGACTATTTTACCCTTGATCTTTTTAAAAAATCCCCACCATATCCCTTTCTTCTTCCTTCGCCTAGTAACGATTGTCGAATTTTACAGATTTTGGCAGATTTCAAATTACTCAGTTTTAGACAACCAAACTAGACCCAAATCGAAATTAAACATGAATTATATCTAATTTAAGTTGAAAACAATAATTTTACTATATAATTCATCCTTAATTTCAAGAATTTAATCAATATTTAAAACTTTGCAAAATATGAATAGTAATCACCTCCAAGTACGCCATTTTCAAAATCCAGGTTTCAAATTTCTCAGTTTCAATCACTCAAATTAGTTCCAAATCAAAATTAAACCATAAACATGTTCAATTTAAGTTAGAAACAACAATTTTATTATATAATTCATCCTTAATTTCAAGAATTACAGAAACTTTCAAACGGTGAACAGTTCATCAGAATAAGAAATTCTTCAAAATCAGACATTCAAATAATTCATATCTCTACTCCTATTTCTTATTCGCAGAATACCCAACAATTCAATTTCATATATTGAATGAATTAAACTTCCCCTTATCTGGTATGGTATTTTTACCGAAATTTTCCCACTAAATTCAAGCTCATTCCCGTTTCACCAGATCCTGCACGAGTAAAGTCTCGTTGCTTGAAATTTAGACAATAGAAGAAGAAGAATGAGGAACATGTGATATGGGAGGAAGAATTTCTCGCAAAAACAATTCATCCCCCTTCGAACATATAAAAGAAATTTTTTTTACTGTGCATGAAGTTTTCTTGCACAATAAAAAACATACATAAGAGTGGGTCCACGAGAGAAATAATTATTTATATTATTTTGAATAATCTTTTAACATTCTATAATAAAATTATTATTATTATTTTACACAGAATAATTACAAACTACAAACGAATGAGAATTTTCTTTCATACTTTATCCTTTAAGTTAAAGGCACGACGCATATAGGTCCTTAAAACACTTTCCACTTTTGTTTTGTGGTTTTTAGCATTTTTTTTTTCTGAAAAATATTCTTCATTTTCAGGTAACAAGACTTCAAAAGATTATCAAGTCACTTTTTAAGATTATCCAGATACACTTAATATTCTATCAGAAAAATCCCAAGGAGAAAGAGTAATGCAACTTTATATTTTCAGTGGTTCAAACACTCTTTGCAATAATAATTTTCATCTTTCTTAACTTGTACATATTAGTGGTGGTTCCTGTTGCCAATGGAAAGGATGTGATATTGGTCACTTAGAAAAATTTAATTTCTAAAATTTAATATATGTGATATTATAATCTTTTAAAATTTTTAAGAAAATGTTTCAAATTTTCAATTTTAAAAACAAAATGAGTTTAATCCCTAAAATCTCCTCAACTAAAAACAATACTAAAAATATTTTAATATATATATTTTTTATTTTAAAAACTAAAAATAAAACTATTAAGACTTTAAAGGTAACAACTAAAAAAGACACGGTTTTGTTTTACTTGTATCTATACATTGAATATTGCAAAGTAATCATAACTTGAATATGTAAACAGTGGTTTTAGAACAAGAGCCGAAACATGGGGATTGTACAGAATCAAAATGACAATGATACAGTATAAACAAGTACTAATAGAGATCATGCAAGAATGAAAAGAAGAAAAAGAAAAGAAATTGTATGTCTAAATCATTAATAGTTAACTAATGATGAACCAACCAGAAGTGAAAACTTGAAGACTATTAAACTCAGTAACAACAGAGGGTGTACTCCACTGGCCTTAGTCTAACACAAATTCAGACAAAATTTCAGAGGCTGCCACTCCTCCTTTTCCCTTTCCCTAAAACTTCCTTTTCCCATAAAATGTAGAACAAGAAAACAAAAAGAACAAAAAAACAAAAAGGCACCTCTGGCTTTCACACGTACAGGCCCTCTATCATGAGTGAGTTCCAGCAGCAGGACTCACATTCCAATTCCTAATACCATGTATGAGTGCCAATGATCAAACAAATAAAAAAGATTGCATGGGATCCTACTATGACAATGATGTGGTCATGCCAAACATGAACCTGATGATGACATGACTATAAGTCATAGTGGTGAATCCAGCAACTACTCTATGAAACCTGTTTTGGTCAAAATAGCATTTCTCACTCTGCTAAGATCTCTCCCTTTCAGTGTCCTCCCTATCCCTTCACACACAGAGAAAGATGAAATCTGACTCCTTGCAAGTTTCCTAGCAATCCATTGATGAGGAGGAATCATATCATCCTCACCATCATCACCATCATCATCATCATCGCCATAATCGTCAAGATACCCGTAACCACAATCAAACTTCTTGCTGCGTACACCCTCCTCCTCAACACCCTTTTTTCCATAAATTTTGGACCAATCAGGAATGTCCATAGGAGCTGAGGATCTTTGGACCACATTTGAATCAGATTTCAAGGAGTGTAGTGTGACACTATTAGTATTTGAGATCTTTCTTGGAGAGGTTGATATTCGCCATGCAGAAGAAGAACCGGAGGACTCCTTAGATACTCTCATTTCTGGGCACAGATAGTCCTTCTCCCTCTCCGTGGTCACACCCCACACATCTTCTTCATCAAAATCTTCATTCCTCATTGACCCCCCACCAAAACCGCTGTTTTTGTTCAGAAAACCACTCCAATCTGCCATTGGTATCTATTGCCTCTGAAATCTCTTCTGCTGCCTGCAAATACAGATAAACGGGTGCTTGTGAGAAAACAAACCAAGGGAAGCGTTTTGAGGTAAGAGGGAGTGATACTGTGGTAGATAGCACAGTTAGCTATTTCAGTATATATAGACGCAGATGACTTGAAACTCTTTTTCAAACAAAATGGTCGTGGTTACTTACTAATGCGATAATTTTTTTTCCCCTTTCATTGGGAATTAAAAAGCAGAAAGGTGTAAGAGAAGAGAATACTGTCAAGAATCTACCTTGCCCTTGTTTCAATAACCTCCAAAAAGGAAAGGCTTTTGAAAAAAAATTCTCAAACGGGAACCCTGATACACCCTTTTAAAAACAAGCATGAAAAAGGAAGAAAGGCTTGAAAATTCTTCCCCGGACCCTAATAGCTCCAAGGAAAATCACAGGTTTCAAGAGGGGCAGACTCACTCACAGAATGGTACCTGAAAAAAAGACAAAGGGGCAGAAAAAGACAAGAAAGCAGCGAATGTGTACAACTACACCACACACACACACACAAACACACACGAAAAAAGGGTTGTATTATTATAGTTTTGGCCCATAAGTGAAAAACCTCTTATGGATATTAAAGAAGGCAGAAAGAAAATGATGGGTCTTGGAGTGAGTCTGAGTTGATCTCTCTCTCCACTGGTTAATTGCAAAAGTCCAAAAGAGCACAGATGAAGGACAATGGCATAGCGGCATCGATCAAAACCCAAAGAGAAAGTCCCATCATATCAATAGCAGCACATCACTATTAAGAAGAGGTGAAAAATTAAACGCACCCTGAGGCTGCTGCCTGCCAAATTTATCACTCAGTTGTTGCAGACGCAGTGCATGCTATGTATTTTATCAGCTATGTTATTATGTATTTATGTATGTATGCAGAAACTAAACTTAAATGGTTTTTGTTTTTTCAATATCTTTGTAAAGTTCTGAAAGGCTGCATCCTGATTGGGAGAGGTGGTGATGCACGATTGGCTTGAGGGTACCTCAAGGATCTGCAACCTTATCCTCAACTCAACTAATATTACGTAGTAGTAACTCATTCGGCAGTAAGAGAGAAAAGAAAACTAAACAAAACAACAAAAGGGTCTTCAATTGGTTGAGCTCTTCTAATTAAGTGTGTGAAACTTGAAAGTGTGAGCCTATGCACCCTTTATTTATTGCCTTGGAGAGGGTGCTTCCTGCTACCAAGTATAGTAGTTGTAAGTAAAAGCCATTTGGTTGGGTATTACTATAACATTGAGATATGTAGCCAGTTTTTACTGACGAAGAACAATGCCTTCAACTGTGCTGTGACTCACCCCGTCACCTTCTAGTACTACTGCTAGTATTTATCTTCCACCTTTTTACTCTTCCCTTGTTGGATCATTAATGCACAGGTCAGGATTAGAAGATTGAGTGTGAATGAATGCAGCGCGAATTATGGTCATAATTAAGGACATGCCAAACTTGTAAAACCATTTTATTAGATGATATACTTGAATCATATTCATATGGATAACATAACTTATTCTATTTCTTATTTTCTTGGTTTATGAGTAAAGTGAAGGTGAAGAAGCTCTTTTGCTGTATTAATCACTTTTAGTTGTTTAAAAATTTGTCTTAGTTTTTGTTTATGTCCTAGATAATATACATGCTTAGTTTAATGAAGCCAGTTTTAGTGACAAAGCATTATTTGATTTTTTTTGTGTGCTCCACTATGTAATGTTCTGATCCACCCATTACTGGTTTTCAGTGGATGCAATATTATTCTAGTTTTCTGTAGCATAACCAGTAATCAAATATGCACGTATATCAATTTACATTTATTACTAAGGATTCCTAACTAGCTGTTTTGGAAACATTGACAGCTATCTTGGCACAAAAACCATAATCAACCATACCCTATTCTTACCCCATTTTATAAACATTACTACTTCCCTATTTTATACACACAATACTTCACATAAGTTTTAACTTAACTTATATGAAAATTTTGATTTCTTGTTAGAAGAAGTGTTAGATACTTTATGAAATTAAGAATTTTAGGTGCAAGCAAATAAAAAAGTATTTATTATTACATCAATTTGTTATCTTTCAATCAACTTCATTCCTTCTAGTTACTATACCCCTCCTATATCACAATCTTTTCCATATTTCTTTTGTTTTATAAGGTATGCAACATCCACTACTTACGATTTGTTCGATGATTAAAAAAAGTGTGACGAAGGAAAATGAAAAAAAGAAAAAAAGAAGAAGAAGATGAAATAGAGTGATTTAAAAGAAAAATGATATGAAATTAATTAAAATGTTCATTTTAAAAATAAAAAATAATTAAATTAAATTAAATATTTATTTAATTATAAATATAATCACGATTTTTGTTTTATTTTTTATTAATATAATAAATTTTTAAAGTAATATCTTTAAATTAATATTTCATCTTTTTAATAATATATACTTTAATATGTCATTATAAATTTATTTTAAATTAAATTAATAAAATAATATCATATTATAAACAAATAAAAATATATATTAAATTATTCATTTAATTTTTATAATTAATTTCATATTTATTATATTTTAATAAAATAATAGTTAATATATATATTAATATTAAAATTATAAATCTAAAAATAAATAATAATTTATTTAAATAAGGATAATTTTGTAAAATATATTTCTCCACTCTTTTCTTACGAGTGAAAAATAAATGTGTATTTAAAATATAAACTTACATTTTTTTTACTTTTCTAGTTATTAAAAATACTTTTTTTTTACTCGTTTTCTTACACTAATTATTTTTTACTTTATATTTTTCCTACGAACCAATCTAATCTAACTATCTATTATAAGAAGTTACAACAATATATGTCATTGTTTTATTGATGAAAGCAATTAATATGTCATTTAATTTAATTTTGTATTTTAAATAATATAAAAATCTTGATTTAACATTTTTTTTAAATATAATTAACGAATAAGATATAAAAGCACTTAAAAATGTAATTATATATACCATTTTAAAATATTTTACATTTTCACAGTTGTGTCTAGTGTAATTATATTTTATATTTATTTATTTATATTTGATTAATTTATTTTAGGTTATTATATTATTCATGTCGATTTTATCCATTACTAACATCTCACATAAAATCTGAACACCATCTTGAAACAAAAAATAAAATAAAAAATCTTCCAACCATATATTTTTAAGGAGTGTTCAGATATTGATTTAACCTGGATTTTATACAAATTATTATCAGAACCATTAAAAATAGTTTGTTAGACTAATGGATTTGTACAATTTTCCTATCAAATTTAAATTGAACAAGTCCAATAAAAGATGGGTTGGATTCACATATGTTTTTCCTTATAAGATGATATTTTGATATGCATTTTTTAATACTTGAAAATAGTTTATATATTTTTAATGTGTTTTATATAATTTAAATAAGCTCTAATTAGCTTTACATATAATCTGCCTAAAATGATTAAATAGAATATACATAAAATTATTTAAAACCGCTATAAATGGAATATACCTAAAATTATTATAAAAAATAAAAAAATCGAGATGGGTGATGTAGGTTAAAAAAGCTTCCATGTTGTGAATTGTAGTCATCTTTCTTCTTTAATTTAAACATTCTATCATAAAATTTCATATCCATGCGAATCTGAGGCATAACATTTTGATTTTGGTATCGGAATTCAAATCGCAATATTTTAAATTTTTTATTGTAACATTTTTCTTAAAAATATTTTTAAAAATAGTCTGTTAGCATTGTAATATTCAATTGGAAAAGTAGAAGAAAAAGTAAAATAAAATATTACAATGATTTTTTATTGGTATTGTTTAATTGAGAATAATAAACTAAGAAAAGGCAAATACCAAAATATAAACATATTTTGAAGATAAAATAAAATTAATAAATGTATTTTTAAGAATTGGTATGTGCATATATTTGTATTTTTTTATCTCCCAGCTAAGTCTACTGTGTATATTTTGATTAAAAGTGTTTATAAGAACTTACGTTTTAGATTTGCAACGTAGATAATAAACTTTATTTATATAATATTAATATTTGTAATATATAAATTATACTGTAAATAAAATTATGATAATATATAATTTTGAACATAGACTATATTTAAATTTATATAAAAAAATAAAAAAATATTTTAGAAATAAAAATTAAAAGATATAAATATATATATATATATATATATATATATATATATATATATATATATATGAGTTAGAAACTAATTCTTTATTTTATAATTTTTTTCTTACAATAAATGCTTAAAATTAATTATTTTTACTTATTAAATTATAAAAATAATAAAGGTAAAGAATAACTATATAAATGGGTTTTAAATATATTTATATTACTACATAAATTATTCACCATTCTACCTTATGTATTAGTATTTTAATTTAGTTACAATTTATATATTTTAAAATGTTTATTAAAAAAAATATTTATTGGCAAACTGCATCGCTCAGCTTGCATATAAGTTTGTGTAGGTCACAAATTGGTTAGTTTGATTTGATATTTGTATTTTTGCTTAATCTTATATAAACATTTTATTAAAAAAAAATCCTATAAAACATTTTTTATTTAGAAATATCATACAAATAAGATAGGTTTAGTAGTTTTGGGCCTATGCAGACCCAATGTGGCATTTTTGACCATTGGTTAGACCAAATTCGTTCCGTTCTTTTTGAACTACAAACTAAAAGAGTTTCAGTAACTAAAAGTAAAGAGAAAAATAAGTATAGTTGTTATTTTGTTAGAAAAAAGAGATATTAAATTAAAAATAAGTTGACATTTACAAAAATAAGTATATCTTATATTTTAAAAGTATTTTTTTCATATAAACGTATGTTTAAAAAGTATAATTTGACAAATAAATGAATAGATAAACAAATTTGTCCCTTTTCATTCTTTTTGTCAACTGGAAAAAAAGTTACACGGGAGTCATTTTGAACTTTCCCTGTCCATAACCAAATGAGAGAAAGTAATATAATTTGCTCATTTTATTTATAATTCTTCTTCTTTCTTTTATTATTATTTTCTAAATTTCTTTGGAATGCAAAATAAGAAGGTCAATGCAGTTTGGTCATAGATTAATAATAATCAGTGATTCACTTAACAATAAATTTCTTCTGCTACAAGATTCAGAAGATACGACACTTCTGCTTACAGTAACAGATTATGCTGGTCAGATAACAATGGAGAAATTGGCAAAGGTTTTCTAGTCCTACGTTAACACCCATGGATTGGGTTCAACATTGTTGCAAACTAAAAAACAAAATCAGGCTATAAAGGAGAGGTGGCTTGGTTTCTAATTCTACTTGAACGCCTAACAGGAGTGATGATCTTCTCATCTCCATGTCCCTGAAAAAACAATGTGATCAAGAACATCAGAAAAAGCTCACTCACTACTGATGCTCTCTTAGGAAAAGAATAATATATGTGTGTAACACAAAACTACGTGTATAATTAAGAGATCTTACCTGCTTGATTGTAATTTCCTCGTACACAGTTAAGCTTCCCATGGAATAGTCTGATGAAGAAGATGCCAAAGATTCTCTCCTGTAGTTATTCTTGCGCTTCTTCTCAGGGCCTAATCTGCGACCTTCATTCGCTACTTTTTCACTGTAGAATGAGTTTTGGTGGAAGCTGCTCGCTTCTGAAGGACATGAATCTTCAAGCACGTCCATTTCTATGGGTCCAGATGACTTATCTGGAGAAACCTGCTCGTTCTTAGATGGCAAAGAGACGTTATGCAACTCCAGAGGTTGCTCGTTAGAGCTTCTGCTTTTGCTTTTACCCCCCTTCCTAGACCAGTTGAAACCTGCACCTGCAATTAAAACAGTACCAGCACCGAGCAGCAAATACAGCACCACATGTGAAGGAATGTGAGCTGCTTCTAATTGCACTTCATCCCCTTTGATTGCAGCATCTATGGTTGCTGATTTTTCCTCTGCTACATCATCAATGAAGGTGGCAGCATCTGAATCTAAACTTGCATCACTTAGCTTGTTGACATTGACTTCAGAATCATATTCTTGTGCCTGATTTGTTGCATCTGAGTCATGCGCTTCAATTCCAATTTCAGAAACCTCTGAATTCAAACTAGGCTGATCTTCAACATTTAAGCTAGTCTCAGCTTCTTGTACCAGCTTATCTTCCAAGTTTCCTGCTTCAGCCAGTTGCTCTGATTCTATCACATTGAGTACTTCCTCAGACTCTTGAGCATCCAAAACAATTTCAACTCCAGCAATTGTTGCAATATCAACGTTTCCTGCTTCAGCCAGTTGCTCTGATTCTGCAATGTCGAGTGCTTCCTCAGACTCTAGAGCATCCAAAACAGTTTCAACTCCAGTAACTGTTGCAATATCTTGCTGAACTCGTTCTTCATATACCTCATAATGTTCCTCCTCAATATCCTCACTGTCAATACTTGAGGCAGCATCGGTTTCTTCAGCGTCCCATACTTGTGCGTGAGTCTCACTTATTTCATTTTCACCACGACCAAATATAGTGTACTGCTCCACCATGGAATAATCCTGCAGAACCGTCAAGTTATAATATTGAATGTTGGCCAAATTGTGTGCTCCTCTAACATCTGAAATGAAATCAGATATGGAAGACAACAACTTGGTAAACCAAATTTGCGAAGTTCGAGCTATCTCATCCAAATTTGTTCCTGCAAACTGGGTGAGCCGATCAATGTTAGCTCTTGCAAACACTGAGAATTCGGAAGATTCATAGACCTTGTAGAAGTCTTCAAACACATTTCGATCAATCACAGGAGAATCTGTGACTGCGATCGATACAAAAGCAACAGCAAGAAGCAAGATCATAGCAATGGCCTTTGCTCTCACTGTGAAACGTGGTTTCGGCACCTCTTTTGCTTCAGCAGATTCTTCTGGCACGAAAGTCCTCCTAGCAGGACTTGGTTCAGAAATCTGGTCCTCTTCTTCCTTAACGGTTTCATCAGAAGAAACATCCAATTCCTTCTGTGAGCCTTCAGATTGGGTATCCTCCGTGACTTCTGAATCTGAAAAGCTTCCAGATATGAAGCTATCCTCTAAGTCCCTCTCCCTGCAGAGTTCCATTCGTGGTTTTGGTTTGTAGTGAAGAAACTGTGGTCTAGGGGAGAGGTAGTTGGTTTTAGGGTCATACGGGGGTATCAAGGGATCAGCACCACGAGGCTCTACAACTGTAGCTTTCAATGAAACAGGAGGAGTGGCAGTAGGGCTAAGCTTGAAAGTGGGATCAAGGTTTACACGATCAGGCTCATTTTCAAAAGATGGTTCAGTGTGAATTTCATCCTCCAGAACCAAAGGATCATTCACATCAAAGCTATTGATACTTTCAAAAGATGAATCTGTATCATTCTTTAACATCAAAGGAATATTCAAACAATGAGTTTCACTCTCACTCCTCAAATCCTCACTTGTCAAGGAAGATCTGGGGTCTTCCTCCAAGGGCTCAGCGAAAGTTACCTTGCGGACGTGGCTTTTCAGGTCCACGGGACTTGGAACCATCTCATTCCGCTCAGTTAGAACTTTCTTTCTGGGAGACTCGTTGATCTTGCAGGAAGCAGAAATGGTTGGAGACATAAAATTCTTTGAGCCCTTTGAGCAAATAGCTGGCGATCGAACCTTAACCGATTTCAAAATTTGATCTTTACCATTTTCTTTATCATCCAAGGAGTCCCTCAACGACCCTCCGCTGTCCCGAATCCCAACAGAGCCTCTTCTCGAAAAATCTGCAGAACACCAAACCCTAAACTCATCAAACACCTATTTTCTCACACTTTCTCAGAAACCAAATACAAAAGCAAAAGACAATATATATGTAAATAGAGAGAGATACCTAAAGGGCTGTTGGCGGGAGTTTTGGCTCCATGATTTGGGACTATTGAGGGTTTGGTGAAGGGGTTTCCAGTAAAACTCCTTCTCATAGGGTTATTGATTTCGGAACTTCTTGGACTTCTCATAGGATTACTGATTTCAGAACTTCTTGGACTAGGGGTTGAAGGCACTAAAGATGGTTTGTTAGAAGGCATGGGAACAGAAGCTTTGAGTTTACTTGAAAGATTACGCGAAGTGAATAGAAGGAAACAATTTCAGAGATTTTTAAAGATTAGGAACATAGAGTTTGGTGGTAACGGCTATATTTCGGGACAAGAATTCAAACGGTCAAGGGATCAGAGCCGTTGGATTTTTTCATCGCAAAACTAGCCGTTGGAGGCTTAACTATTCCCAGTTCATATTATATCTTTCTATTTGGAATCATGCATTTAGGGTTTATATTTAATTTAATGACGTTTTATTTTCATGATTATTGATGTAATTAATTAGCTTCACTTTTAGTTTAATTTTCATACATGATATAAAGATTTTTGTATTAATAACTTATTATAATTAAATATAAACATTAAAACAATCATTTTCTTTTTCATATTGATATTAATAATCTAAATATTTGTCAGTATATTTTAGTTAAATTTTGTTTTTTTTTACTAACAACTTCAATTTTATTTGAATTACAATTTTTTTTTTATAAATTATACATGAGATTGATTTTATTATCTTTTATTTCGTTTTAACTGTGTTAATGATAATACTGATATAATGTCATCATTTTCATCTATGTATGCCCATGTTGTGATACATGTATTTGAGATATCCAATCATGCATTTAAACATTTAATCAATCTCTTAGAATTCTCGTAAATTAATGATATATATCTTCATCATCATTCCACATTTTTATAAAATAATGTATATTTTTCCAAAAAATATTTTTTTCTTAAAACCTTTAATTAATTTAAAATTATTTTATTACAATGTAAAAAATAATTCTTAATTATACTAAGTATATTTTGTTTTTATTTCTTTCTAGCACGAGCTGACGAAGAAAATAATAGGGTTTTGGATTATCGAGTGAATATATTTATTATATATTTAATTTTAATGCTTAATGTCTCTATCAAATTTAGCATATTCCTGGGAGTTTCTCCAAGAATTTAATTATTTAGATATTAAACTTAGCAATAAAATAAAAGAAACAAAGAGTAAAAGTATCTTAGAATAAAAAACCTTAACATGAAAATGAAAAAAAATCACATGATTTAATTCAACTAAACTTACTATTAATTTCCAGTTTTGTAAAACACAAGATTTTTCATATGTACTTTGCAAAGTTATTCATGGTACAATTTTCAAGCTTTTGAACTGATAAGACACAAAACAAATCTCTTAACACATAAAAAACTATGGTAAAAAAAATGAATAATGAACCATTTGAAACTCGTCTTTAATAGTTTTCACATTGCTTTTCGTAGAATTCACCATATGTAATGTTAAACTAAGTAAAAAGTGTGTCCAAAGGGGATAAAACTTAATTTCCATGTGGTTAAAATCTAATGTCGCCTTAAGTCAAACTTGACGCCTTGCGTGCAACATGGTAAAGCTCCAAATAATCCAGAGCAGGTCGATTCCAGGACCAGTCTTGTTCCATCACTGTCTTGCATAAGTTGTTAAATCGATCACGATCCTCGTACCATGTTGATATTGCCCTGAAAAAGTCCGTTTTAACATTATTATAGCAAAAAAATAAAAAGAAAAAAATTGGGAGTTAGAAAACATTGATTCTTTTTCCAACTATTGAGTAATTTTGGAGTTCTATTGTTGGAACATTTGGTTTTCGTATGTTGAGGTCATTGCACAACATGTAACACACCTATTGAAGGCATAATCAACACCAGTAGCATCAGCTCCATCAAAACTAAACCCATTCGGTTTCAGTCCTTGTGCCTGTGCTCTAGCCTTGTCATGATCAACGTCAAATACAGTGTCGCATAGTCCTACAAAATTATGCAAAAATTTATGTCAAAGAAGAATATGAGTTTTGATTAGGAAAGTGACAGTCAGATAATACACAAAACCAAGGTAAAAATGATAACTTCATAAAATGTGTAAACATTTATAAAGCATGTACGAACCTCCAGTTTTTCGAACAATAGGTATTGAACCATATCTCATTGCTACGAGTTGTGTTAGACCACATGGCTCAAAGATTGAAGGAACAGCAATGAAATCAGCTCCAGCATATATCTAAAACCAAACATTTCAAACGAGTCAATAATTCCCTGTCATGCTTATACACAAAATATGTCAAATGTTTTAAAGAGAAATGCTAACAACGTTACACTTTATTATTTGATGAAAACCATGCAGATGACACTAAATAGATATTGAAACCCAGACCATTTAGTGTGACTAACATAGCTTTCAACATATAGTAAAGTTAATGTTTTAAAAAAATGTTTTGTTCTGCAATAAATTACCAAGTGTGATAGGGCCTCATCGTATACAAGACAAAGCTTAGCACGATCATGATGGAGAGAATGCAATTGATTGGCCAAATTTTGAAAATCATTTTGAATACAAGGATCTGGAGCTGAGCCAAGTAACACAACCTGCATTCAAATATTCCATTGTTAAGACATTTATTCTTTGATACAAACAACAATTGCAAACAAGTATAAGGTAGAACGCCTAATAACAAATATTTTCTTAAACAATTAAAACCGGAATCTATTAAGTTACTGTTAAAAACTTGGTGCTTATCTGTTTATCTCTTTGAGATGAGTGATGAGGACTAAAACTCAAAACAACTTAATCAAAGACACTTCAATCTTGTATGATCAGTTATTGATAGCATTACCTAAAAGCTTAAAATTTATTCATGTTTGTTCTATAACAGTGTCTATATTTGTTACTGTGCAAGCAATGCAGATATATGGTAATGACAAGGCAGAATTTGATAAAACAATAAAAATAGGAATAAAAACCTGTCCACCACGCTCTAGGGTGCGAGATATAGCATGCTTGATAAGATGGATTCCTTTTTGATGAGTCAATCGAGAAATAATTCCCAGCAAAGGAAGATCAGCTATTCTCAAACCAAGCTTTTGTTGCAAGGCTTTCTTGGCAGCCTTTTTACCTTCGATAACATTTTTGGATGTGTATGATATCTGCAAAATGTTAGATTGTTCTAGTTATAATTGGATCAGTAGATGGATGATACATTATTTAGTTCTTAAGACTTAGATTACTGGTTTATCAAGTACTTACTCAAGAACAACCCCTATGCAAAGAAAAGGAATAATGTGTATACATGCCTACTTACAGGAATCAACTCATCGTTAAATGGGTCCCATATATCTGGGTCAATTCCGTTTATAATACCCTGAAACTTGTGCAGATGAGGAGAAATTATAGGATTTCCAGAAACCTCCAGAGAATAAGTTGGGGAGACCTGCCAATAAAAACACATATATATGACTAACATTTTATATTGATAAGAACGATATCAGAAAAGTGAACAAATTTAAAATCACTTATAATTTTAAGCATACAAATTATCAAAGAAGTGATTAATTCTCACAATTTTTTTCTATCATGCCCACCTCAATTTTTTCCATCTTTTAAATATATCAAAATTACAAGTAAAACATGGTAGGTAAACATTAAATGCATGTAGTTAAGAGATAATGGTTATAGAGATAGTGGTTGAGAGGTAGTGGTTGTATTAAATGTATGTTGTTGAGAGGTAGTGGTTGTATTAAATACATGTAGTTGAGAGGTCATGTCCAAAGGCCTATAAATTGACCATGTACCACTCATTGCAAAAACATCAAGTGATAACATATAAAGTGTTTTGTTTAGATACTTGTTTGTCAACAAATTGACATCAGAGCTTGAGAGCCTGAGTGTCTGAGTGCTTAGAGAGAATGTTTGAGAGTTAGAGAGTTTGTTCGAGATGACCAACTTAGCTAACAACATGCCACTGCCCCAAAGTTATCGAAAAACAGAAGCTATGATAACTGGAGTCTGCAAATGAAGGCTCTCCTTGCTTCCTAGGAAATATGAGATGTGGTCGAAAATAGACACCAAGAACTAGAGAATATTGAAGAGCAGACGATTGTCCAACTTGCTGCGTTGAAAGCAACACGGGTAAAGGACAAAACGACTTTGTATGTGTTGTACCGAGTTGTTGATGAGTCCGATTTTGAAAAGATAGCAAATGATAAATCTTCAAAAGAAGCGTGAGATATTTTGGAGAAGGCATATAAAAGGGATAATCGCGTGAAGCAAATCAGACTTCAAACTCTGAGAGGCGAGCTTGAAAGAATGAGGATGAAAGAGGTCGAAGGAGTTGCTGAGTACGTCTCTCGTGTTGAGACCGTGGTAAATCAACTCGAAAGAAATGGAGAGATGCTGCCCACTTGTCGAATGGAGAAGAAAATCTTAAGGTCGTTAACCGACGACTTTGAGAATATTTTTTGTGCAATAGAGGAGTCCAAGGACTTGTCAGTGCTCTCGGTAGAAGAGTTTGTCGGGTCGCTTGAAGCGCATGAGCAACGGAGAAGAAAGAAGAAAGAGGAGTCCCTTGATCAAGCACTCCAAGCAAAGGCAATATTAAAGGAGAAGAAAGTTCCTTATGCTCAAAACACTCAAGGCCGAGGTGGTAGAGGCAGAGGAGAATATGAAAGAGGTAAGGAGCAAGTCAGTCAAAAAAACTGGCGTGGCTAAAGACAAGGTAGAGGTCGTGACGGTAGATGCCGAGGTGGTCAGTCAAACAATTTCGGAGTTAAGTGCTTCAAATGTGGGAAGTACGGTCATTTTGCTAAGGATTGCTATTCAGGTATCAAATGTTATAATTGTGGGAAGGTTGGACATTTCGCGAAGGACTGCCGATTTAAGAGGAAGAAGGAAACAAACCTCCTCTCTGAGGATGCTGAGGAAGAAGGAGTATTGATGATATCGAGAAGCTCGGATATCGAGCTAAGTCCGAGCTGTTCTGACAACTCAGTTTGGTATCTTGATACAGGAGTAAGTAACCACATGTGCAAGGACGAGAACCTTTTTAAGGAACTCACTAAAGTTGAGGCCGGACACGTGTCGTTTGGATATGCATCAAAGGTGGCAGGGCCGAGTTACAATATGGTACCTGCAGAAGAATAGTCGAATTGGAGAAATCAAAGACGTGTAATATGTACCCGATCTCAAAAGCAACATATTAAGCATGAGCCAGCTGATGGAGAAAGGCTACTCGATCTGATGAAAGACCGAGTACTATACTTGAAAGACAAGTCAGATCGTTTGATTGTCCGAGTAGAAATGAAGAAGAATAGAATGTACAAGCTAGACTTGAAGATAGTCCAAGAGAGGTGCTTGAAACTTGACGTGAAGGATGAAACAATGATGTGACACTTTCGGTTTGGCCACTTGCATTTTGGTGGGTTGACTGAGTTGGTAAAGAAAGAGATGATGCGAGGACTCCCGTCTATGGAATTTGAAAAGAAATTTTGTGAAGAGTGTGTGCTCGGGAAGCATCCGAGGATCTCATTTCTGAGGACTGTCGAGTACCATGCAAAGGAACAACTCGGATTGATTCACACAGATCTTTGTGGACCGATTACCCCTGAGTCTTTCAGTGGAAAAAGGTATTTAATTTCTTTTATAGATGATTTTTCAAGAAAAACCTGAGTATATTTTTTGAAGGAGAAATCCGAGGTGTTTGAGGTGTTCAAGAGATTTAAAGCAATGGTTGAAAAAGAGACCGGCATGTCTATCAAATTTGTCAGGTCTGATCGAGGAGGTGAGTTCATTTCATCCGAGCTCATGAAGTATTGCGAGGAGTAAGGAATAAGGAGATTTCTGACAGCACCGTACTCACCCCAACAAAACGGAGTTGCCGAGAAGAAGAATCGAACCATTCTTGACATGGTTCGAACAATGTTGAGAAGCAAGAACGTGTCAAAGGAATTCTGGGCAGAAGCAGTGCAATGTGTCATCTCTGTGCAAAATAGATGTCCACATAAACGAGAAGACACAGCAAGAAGTCTGAAGTGGAAGAAAGTCAAGTGTGTCTCACCTTAAAGTGTTCGGCAGCATAGCTTATGGTCATGTTCCAGCTCAATAAAGGACCAAACTCGAAGATAGAAGCAAAAAGTACGTGTTTATTGGGTATGATGAAAAAACCAAGGCGTACATGTTTTTTAACCCAATAATTAAGAAGGTCATTATGAGCCGAGATGTTCAAATTGATGAAGAGAGCGAGTGGAGTTGGAACAAACCAGAGAATGAGTCCATAGGAAGAAGAAGTTCGAAAGTTGATACACCACATACTGTGCGAGATCATGAGACTTCTGATGAAGAAGATGAACATCTACAACCCAGAGCGCGAAGTTTACAAGATATATACAACTCCACTGACAAAATGCATGTTGTATGTTTCTTAGCAGATTCAGAAGACTTAAGTTTTGAAGAGGTCGTGCAAGAGAAAAGGTGGCAAAAGGCAATGGATGAGGAGATCAGAGCAATAAAACGCAACAATACGTGGGAGCTGACTGATTTGCCCAAAGGAGCACGACCTATCGGCGTAAAGTGGATATACAAGAAGAAGACAAATGCTGAAGGAGAAGTTGAGCGATATAAAGCTCGACTCGTAGTGAAGGGGTATAAGCAGAAAGAAGGAATAGACTATGACGAAGTATTCGCCCTAGTGACAAGGATGAAAACAATTAGACTATTGATTTCCTTAGCAGTTCAACACAGATGGACAATCTTGCAGATGGACGTGAAGTCGGTATTTCTGAATGGAGTCTTGGAGGAGGAAGTATATATTGAACAACCACTCGGATACATGGGAAGAGGTGAAGAGAAGAAAGTGCTGAGATTGAAGAAGATACTTTATGGCTTGAAACAAGCTCCACGAGCATGGAATGAAAGAATTGACACTTACTTCAAAAGGAATGGATATGAGCAATGTCCTTATGAACATGCTCTATACATAAAGAAGAAAGGAGAAGATGTGATGTTTGTTGCCCTATATGTTGATGACCTTATCTTCATGGGGAATAATGTCGAGCTGATTGAAGAGTTTAAAGAAGTGATGAAGAAGGAGTTTGAGATGAATGACTTGGGTCTTATGAAGTATTTTCTTGGCTTAGAAGTTGTTCAGGGAAAGGATGACATCTTTATGTCGCAGGAAAGGTATGTTGAGGAGGTCTTGAAGAAGTTTAAGATAACAAGTTGCAACCCGGTTTCCACCCGTATGGAACCTGGTACAAAACTTTTTAAGTATGCAGATGGAGACTGAGTTGATGCGAGCAAATACCGAAGTCTGATTGAAAGTCTTAGGTATCTTACAAATACCAGACCAGATTTAATGCTAAGTGTTAGAATAGCAAGTCGGTATATGGAGGAGTCAAGGTATACTCATTGGAAGACACTAAAGATAATTCTAAGGTATGTGAGAGGAACAGGGCCTAATGTATACTAGGACGGATGATTACCGACTAGTAGGCTACTCGGATAGTGACTGGTGTGGAGATGTTGATGATCGAAAAAACACGTCTGGATATGTATTCTTCATGGGAAACACAACGTTCACCTGACTTTCAAAAAAATAACCCATTGTAACGTTGTCCACTTGCGAAGCCGAATACATTGCAGCATCTTGGAGTGTCTGCCATGCAGTTTGGCTTAGAAACCTTCTAAGCAAGCTGGAGTTGAAACAAGAAAGAGGGACTGTGATTCAAATTGATAACAAGTCAGCCATTGAATTGACAAAGAACCCGGTCAATCATGAGAGAAGCAAGCATATTGATGTTCGGTTTCACTTCATCCAAGAACAAGTGAAAGAAGGAAATATAGAGTTAGAGCACGTCGAAACCCGAGTACAAGCTGCAGCAGATATATTCACGAAGTCACTGCCAACCACTCTATTCGAGAACAGCAAGAAGATGCTTGGAATGAAGGACAAGAAAAATATTTAAGTTTATGGGGGGAATTTTGTTAGGTAAACATTAGATGCATGTAATTGAGAGGTAGTGGTTATAGAGATAGTGGTTGAGAGGTAGTGGTTGTATTGAATGTATGTAGTTGAGAGATAGTGGTTGTATTAAATACATGTAGTTGAGAGGTCATGTCCAAAGGCCTATAAATTGACCATGTACCATATAGAATATTTTGTTCAGATACTTGTTTGTCAACAAAATAATCATTATATAATCTCCCAGTGACCCTACAAAAAGAAACACCATAACTAGCTATCACAAAGAGAAAAACTTTCAAAGAATTGAAGCGAATATTATAAGTAAATAGCAGTACTAACTAATATTATAATGATGAAAATGAACATTCAACTTGAACAACAAAGTTAGCAAAATAGATAAAATTCTTACGGTTGTAGCCTTGTCTGCGAATGCTATTGCTTTTCCGATGAAATGAGCTCCAAATTCAAGGTTATGAATTGTAAATACAACCCCTGCTTTGCTTAAATTACAATGTGTATATTGTTCTTTACATAGCCATGCAACCGGTGCACTTGACCAATCATGGCAATGGATGATGTCCTGTGCATAACCATACACAAGTGGTTAAATTAAAGACTAATTTAAGAGAAGATCAATTTAAAAAGACATGTAATGTTACTTATATTACAACCCCACACTTCTCTTTCTACTTTATTACAAACATCTGAGATCTAAAAATATATTACCTAAGAATATTAAGAAAAATGAATATAAAATTATTTAAAATTTTAGTGCAAGAAATGTAAGTTTAATCACTGGATAAAAAATCCCAACAAGAAATTAGGAAGATAACTAGTCTTTACTTGCACTAATTTTATTTCAAACAATGGAGAGATTCCTCGTTTAGGGTAATATTAATCAGGTGTAATTTATTTCCCTTTCTTCCACTCGTTCTTCAGCGGAGACAAATAAGGGCTCATAAGTTTTATATCTATAAAATCAGATAGTAATATTATTTTCTTGTAAATTGTCATATAATAAAAAAATCTATCGTGTTAAATACACACATAAAATAGGAATGTTATATTTTAATCTCCGTTTTCAGAATCAAGTCATATAATAGCAGCAAAAATAAATCTTGGATCAGTAAAAAAGAAATGTAAAGTGAAAGTTATAAAAATGGCAACCCATGAGTTGAATGATATATCTTACCGGATGGAATCCATTTTGAAGTAGAAATTCAAGAGCAGCATGACAGAAAAAACCAAACCTTTCTGCATCATTCCCACAACCATACACGCGACCAACACGAAAGAATCTGAAGGAAAATATATGATTATTGTTTAGCATAACACAATTTTCGAAATAGTAAGATTTTTCAAGTAATCACTCATTTTCAGGTTACGAGAAGGTGTTTCCAACCAACTTCAAAGTAAAAAAAAAAACAAAAAAAAACAAAAAAAAACAAACAAAATTCTTACTCATTTTGAGGTTCCAAGAAGTATACAGAGAGACCTTCCACCTTTCCATTCCATACTTTTATTTCATTCCGTCCCCAAAAGTAATGTTTATGAAATCGGAAATCTTTTACCTGCATCAAAAGACTTATGTTTAGAGGATGATATTTTCACAAATCATATAACCTTTTATTAATATAATAATGATTTAATAAAAATAAAAATAAAGTAAAACTATTATTATAATATTTGTTTATAGGAATGGTATAAATTTAGATTTAAAAAGTATCATTTTTCTATGTTTAACAAATATTACAAAAGTAACTTTTATGTACAGCACACACACAAACACCCAGTATATGAATTTCAAACCTAGATGTTTGGTAGTTGTTTATATGTTTAAGAGGGCCACCAGTATTGATTCTCATCCAACAATACCAAGAATCATGTTCAAGAATAGCCACACAATTTCATAATATTTGTGTTTTCCCATAGCAATAACAAAAAACTTACATTGCTAAGGTTTAAACAATCATATTTTGGAAGAATAATATCCACATTATGATTTAAATCCTGCACTGCTCGTGATAGACTAGTTACAACATCGCCAAGGCCTCCAACCTGCAAAAATAAACATAGATCTCAACTTGTTTTGGCAATGACCATAAAAATGCTGCATTCTAACATCCAAATGATTACTTTCCATTTTTTTCTTTGCTCTCATCCATAAACTTTTACCTAAATCCAATAAAAATGCTAATTCTATATTTTGCTTTCTGCACTTTGTCAAACTACACCTATTATAAACATGTATTCCAAGAGTTATTAAGCTATGAATGAGATATTATGTTAACTACATTTTAAGACATCACCAACAATGGTAAAAAAATTCATTTGTACTTTAAAAAATAAACAATAAAAGTTTTCATATACTTGTAGATGAAGTTGAGATAATATAGATAAAAAAATACTACTTTACCTTCGCAATTGGAGCCATCTCAACAGCAATATGGACAATATGCATGGGTGTTTCCTTTACAGTCCCTCCCAAAACTGGCATATGATAATCCATTCCATCGTTATTATCAAAAATTCCACCTTCTTCTTTATCAGAGAATACAAAGTCTATCATGTATGCATCCAATGGAACTTTAACTGTAGAAGCACAAAATCATATACGTTGTTAAGGAACATATACAAAGACTATAAGTAAATCAACCAATTGAATGTCTGGAACAAATTGGTTGCATAAATATATTAGTAGCATCAAGTTACTAGATTTATGGACATGAATAATACCAACAATGAGTGACCTACACACAACATTTAGATGAAGGTCAATGTACAACTCATAAAACACAACATGATTAGGTGGCACAATTAACTTAATAGGAACCTACCATAATAACATGTCATTAATGCCAATAGTATGATAGTTTATAACAGTTTTAGAAGGTACTCTTAATGAATTCTAACAAGAAAATAATTAATAAAATAATTTACACTGTATGAGAAACTCACCGAAGGCTTTGACATAAGTACCATTCTTTGCAGAAACCATTTTCTGAGGTGGCAACAAACCAGAACGATGAGTCCAACGATTAAATGAATATTGAAACCAAATCTCCGGTTTTCCATTTAGGTTTGTGTTGCAAGGATTATAAAACACAGTCACTGTACCCCCCGCTTGAACATGAAGAGGTTGGGTGAAGACAATATTCTTTTGAGAAAGCAAAAATCTTTCTAAAGTTTTTTTCTTTGTTTCAGCTTTGATGATAGCTGTTTTTTCAAGCTGAAACAAGAACAAGTCCAAATAAAGGAGATATTGGCATTTTTTTTTTCACAAAAACAAGAAATCATAATGTGATATTTAAATATGCTACCAAATCAAATTCGTAAAGCAAAAAGCCATACTCCAAATGTGATAGATTTACAGTATAGGCATAGTTAACAGTAACTTTCTGCATGTATTTACATCATACAATTCAGATATTTTATTTGTCTATGAAATATGTTTGATTACATAAGGTCTCAACGTGACAATTTGAAATTAAAAATGTTATTTGTATATTGTATAACAATTAATACGACAATTTGTACAACTAAGAGAGAAATTTGAAGTGTAACAAATGACTTGGTGGAAAGAGATACACACAAAAAGTTGATGTTGTATGTATATTTTTGCTGAAAAACTAACCTTGGCACCTTTAGCTTCCTCTCTTAACCTTCTTTTCTCGCGCAAATTTGCATATATCCTCTGCTCTTCCCAAATCCAAGTTTGTTCATCTGGTATTACTTTTGCCACAATAGCATGAAAGTCTTTACCATTATTGTTATCATACACACTTGCATTTCCAGGTGGACCATCAGCAAAAACCCAATCCAGTACAACAGCTTGGTCTGGGACAACAACTGCATCAAATGCAATTTGATATTAAAAACAAAATTGCATACTTCAAGTTAGACTTGGAGAGAAGAACAAGTACCTTACTTAAACAGTGTTATCTAAAATATACAATATATAATGTCAAAATATTCATTGATCCTTTATTTTTTTTCCATAACATAAGTAGACTTGCTTCATTGATAAGTGATTCTAAACTATTAAAGGAGCATACCGTTTGCACACCACCAATCACCATCTTTTGAATCAATTTGGCCAAGCCTTTGAACATATGATAAATTGTGCTGCCAATTATTGTACCCACCATGAAGCCATACTTCTTGAAGTTGTGCAAGAGGACCCGATTTTCTGTTATAATATAATTTGACCCAATCTTTCCATTGAAACTCACTAGGTTCTGTATACCAAAGATTGTCAATACATTTTACTGCGTTTTTGGTCAAGTTATGTATCGCTTCTCTCTCCCTTTTTACCTCCTCCCTAGCTAGTGATTTATCCTCGTCTCTTGCAGTTTTCTCTGCTTCCATTTTCCTTTTCTTTTTTTCCTGTTCTTCTTTTTCAGCTTGCTCCTTAGCAAGTCTTTCTACTTCTTTACGTTTCTCCTCAAGCAAGAAATCCTCAAACCCGAGTGCATCAATTCCACAATCAACAGGTATGGAGAAATCTTTTGTGTCATTATTGTCATAAACATTTTCCCCATTGAAGAACACGAAGTCCACTTTATAGGCTTCTCTTGGAACATGTAGTTGGCAAGACCACCAATCTCCATTGGGTAGCTGTGTTTTATTCAATCTCTTGGTAAAAAGTTTCCACCTCCAATCATTAAATGCTCCTTTAATAAAAACATTCGGCTCATTACACAAAGTTGAAAAATTCCTATTAAAAAACACTTCAATGTCTTGACCGGGTAAAACCTCAGGAGGATATACAAACAACTTGTTTTTGAGAGATAAGTTTTCCTGCGCAATGCTCTCTATTTCTTGCCGACGAAAACTTTCTTCCAACTGTAACTTCAACGATTGAGAAGCTTCTTCATCTATTACATTATCATCAATATGATCATTTATTTCTCTAACTATGGTTTTCTCTCTGTTAATGTCATTAACACCAGATTCTTCAGCAATTTTGGTAATTTTTGCACAATCTGCTATCTTTTCGTCCAAGTGTTCACCATTCCCAATGTCGGAAATGTCAATAACATCTTCCTCGTTAAATATATAAACATTTTCATCTTCTCCAACTAGATTACTTGTTGCAATTGATGGTTTTGAGATGAAACTCTTTGAATCATGACCCTTGGGCATTGCAATAAAGATTTTCTTTTTTCTTCTTCCCGAAAAATCTATCAAAGATTATGGTCAATTATTATAAGAAATTTTACAAACTTGAAGAAAGTGGGGTAAACAGGATTTATCATTTGACAAGTGTAAACAACGATAACAAAAGTAGCTAATAAACCTGCTCTAGCTTTGATGCAAATAGAGTGCCGACTAGTCTTGAATTCACACTGCCACGGTACAAAAACTAAGAATTAACTTTGTTATATATCAAGATGCACTAAGCATAAACATAAATATTAAGATAACCCATAATGAGCTGCTTTGAACAAATAATTTAGAGGGACCCATAATAACTCACAAGACCAAATATCATAAACACTACATATTTCTACAAACATCTCTATTTATATATTTGTATAAAATGTTTAAAATATTTATCTATAATCATATTATTATCAAATAAAAATATAAATAATTTATTATATATACATCTATCTATCTCTACGTATATGAAAAAAGATACCATCTAAAAAATTTGGAGGCATATGACCAAAGAAGCTTCTAAAGATATATTCAATAGAAATAACTATTGTAAATTGTTTAATATATTAGAAAATATAAAATATAGATTTATTATAATTTAACAATCATAATTTTTTTTAAATTTTAATAAATTATTTTCTTAAAAAAATTATTTTCTTTTATTTACGTACTTTTATTCATTTTTAACAAAGTTTTAATAATAACTGAGAAAGTACTTTTAATTACTTTTACTTACTTACTTTTATTTATTTATTTATAAGTAAATCAATTACAAAGAAACTAAACATTATTATTGGATGAATTGAGAAAGTAGGTGCATGTTCATGCAACTATTATAAATATATTTTAGGCGATGGGGATATTTTGGACAACAACACTCTTTAAGCATGTTTAGATTTCAATTGGAAGAAATTAAAGGTATTATTATTTTGAAAACAACAATATTATCTTTCCACATACTTTTGGAAGTGATCAAAACATACCTTAGCTGATTGGTTTGTTTGGCTATAGATAGGGAAGAACAAGCCAACGCCGAAGCACGTTTTTCCATTGGCAAACGCAGTTTTGCAGTTCAGGTTCAAAGACATCCCCATGTTCTTCACCGTTGATGCTTCCCAATAATAACTTCACTTCTACGCAATGTATGAACAAATGTTCGTTCTAGCAATGATTCACTATCTCAGAATCTGCGCAATAAAAATATACACCATTACTGTATGTAGTATGTGATATTTTGAGAATGACTAAACGAAATGATAGTTCGTGTTACATACCAACGCTGATTCTTTGATAATGGGACGCCACTCTTAGATTATGATGGGTTTTATGTGACTGGAGAGATTTGGGGGCAATATTCACGGGACTCGCACTGATATCGCGTAGGTCATTGTAGTGCTATTCTGTTACATCTAACTTCTTTGCATAAGACTTGCACAAATGTTGACTAGAGGAAATCTTGTTTAAAATAGCAATACTGAAAAATATTTATTTTTTAAATTTAATGTAGTATCCATTGTTTTGTTTAGCATTGATTCCTTTGGGTCAAGCCTCCATGTCTAACACTGGGCCCTAAGTTAAGAAGCCCATAACCTGAGTCCATCAAATACGTCTTACTTTCCCCAAGTGCCTTCATCTTCATCTTGAGGAGAGGTTTTGGCTGGGTTTACCTTTCAGAAAAGAATACATGGAGTTCGACAAGAGAAAAGCCGCAACACTAGCTTCTCTGACTTCTACGGAATCAGACAAATCTCCGAAGGGCTCGTTAGACGCACCCATTGTTCCTCTCTTAAACGCTCTCAACCAAAGCCCTTCTTACTTCACCACAAGTTCCTGCTCCGGCCGAATCTCCATCCTCTCCCAACCCCTCTCCGAATGTCCAAATCCTAGAAAGAAAGCCAGAGGCGGCACGTGGCTCTTCGTTTCCCACGACCCCGCTGATCCCGGCTCGGTCATTTCTCTCCTCTTCCCTTCCGAGTCAGCTCGCTCCCCCTTCGTCTCCGAACTCGTCTTCCGATTCGAGCCCCTCATCATTGCTCTCGAGTGCAGAGACATCTCCTCCGCTCACTCCCTCGTATCCCTCGCCATCTCCTGCGGCTTCAGAGAGTCTGGCATTACCAATGCCAAGAAGCGCGTCATCATCGCCATTCGATGCTCCATTCGCATGGAGGTGCCTTTGGGGGACACGCGCAACGTCATGGTCACGCCCGAGTATGTTCGTTACCTCGTTCAGATCGCAAATGACAAGATGGAAGCTAATAGGAAGAGAACTCAGAGGTTTTTCGAAGTTTTGCAGTCCAATGGATCCTTGATTACTGATAAAGGGGACAGTTTGTTCCCGACAAATGAAGCATCCGACCATCTTGAACTCCAGGATGACTCTCAGGCAGGGAATGGGAATGCCGAAACCTCTAAAGGTATAACATTTTCTTAGTCAACGGTTTTCAACTGTCAAATTTAGTCAACTTTTGCAGAAGAGAGGGATTGGCATTAGTGCATCTATCATAAGATTCTTTAACTTCAGAGCCAGTTTTTATGTAGGTTCACAATTGGAGTAATTGACATGTCAGTTCTTATATAAGAACTGTTACATATACATCCAACCCGTTCTATCTATATCTAAATCCAAACCCATATAGATTCTTAATTCAGAGCCAGTTTTTATGTAGTTTTCACCATTGGAGTAATTGACATGTCAGTTCTTATGTGTGTGTATGTGTGTATAGATTCTTAAACTTCAGAGCCAGTTTTTATGTAGTTTTCACCATTGGAGTAATTCACATGTCAGTTCTTATATGTGTGTGTGTGTGTGTGTGTGAATTTGTTCTTTAGCTTCTGTGTGTGTGGATATGTTGTTTAGCTTCTCTGTTTTTATATAATAAGTTTTTATATAATAATGATCCCACTGATGAAATACTAAAAAAGCACATCTCTTTGTTAAAATTGACTTTTTTTTTTTATTATTTGTGATTGATTGTTTAAGATGTGTTCAATTAAGAATAGGTGTTGATTCACTCTATTAACTTGTGCTTAAGCCGTGTTGGATAGGAGTCCAACCTGGGTGAAAGTGAATTTTTTTTTTTTAATTGTGACACATTTATGGAGTGTTATGTCTAATGAAGATGTTCTTATGTTGCATGTGATATTGACTTTATAGTTTATTGGATTTGTAAATGTTCACTATCAAAATGCTAGTGTCTGAGTAATGAAATCAGTACTGATGCATATTGGTATGTATCTGATTGCAGGACAACTTTCCTTTTAATATCAATCAAAAGTCTGAATCTTTAAATGGTTGGCAGGGTCCCTGAGTTCTCCTGGGTCTGGTCTGTCAATTAGCCATTTTGATATTTTTGGTGAACCAGCAGAGAAGCTTTTTCTTTGGGGCCACTCTGCGTGTGGATTGAATAATGCTGATCAGAAGAAAGTTATTATTTTTGGTGGCTTTGGAGGCATGGGTAGACATGCCAGAAGAAATGATTTGTTGCTGCTTGATCCGTGTTCTGGCAATCTTGAAATGGTTAGCACTGTTGACTGTGCTTCTCCAACTCCACGATTAGGCCATACAGCTTCTTTGGTTGGAAATTGCATGTTTGTGATTGGAGGTCGGACTGGTCCTGACAAAATTCTGAGTGATGTATGGATCCTAGATATAAGTATGAATTCTTGGAAGTTACTGCAATGTGCTGGCAATTTATTTCCTCCCAGGTAATGCTTAACGGCATTCTGGTGTTTAATAGAAAGCCCTCTGATGAAACAAATTTCAATAGTGATAAAAAAAATCATTGTATACTTGTTTTTAAGATCACTGTATGTGTTGGATGAATTCTGGTATCAGTATTTTGATTCATGTGCATTAATGCTTTTGCCTACTACTTATTAAATTGTATGTTGTATTGTAACAATATCATAGGGCGTAGTGACATTACTTGCTGTCAATTGATTTGGTAATATTATTTGGGTGTTGATAACCAGTATCCACCACTGGTTAAGGAATTAGTGGGGTGCTAGAAAGTAAGGTAGAACGCATTATAACTCTTGGGAGAATGCATCCCAATAAAAGAGTTTCCCCTTTTAATACTTTAACCTTTGGGCCGGTTAGCATTTACCATATTATTTTTACACTGCATGTCTAACATATAGTTATTTACATGTTGGACAGGCATCGTCATGCTGCAGCTGTCATGGGCTCCTCCATTTATGTATTTGGGGGGCTTGATAATGAAACTATCTTTTCTTCTCTTTATGTTTTTGACACAAACACTTCACACTGGGAAGAAATACCAATTTCTGGAGACTGGCCATGTGCACGTCACTCACATGCTATGGTGGCATCTGATTCTCAGATTTTCTTGTTTGGTGGATACAATGGTGGGAAAGCACTTGGGGATTTGTATAGCTTTGATGTTCAGAAGTGTCAATGGACAAAGGAAAGGACAACTGGAAGGATTCCACATGCTAGATTTTCCCATTCAATTTTTGTCCATAAGAATTATCTTGGAGTTCTCGGTGGTTGTCCTGTTAGACAACACTGTGAAGAGTTGGCTTTACTTGATTTGAAGCTTCGTCTATGGAAGCATGTAACACTCAATTCTGTAGGTAAAGATTTGTTTGTGCGTAGTACAGCCAATGTTGTTGGTGATGATCTTGTCATAGTTGGTGGTGGAGCATCATGCTATGCATTTGGAACAAAGTTCAGTGAGCCAGCAAAAGTCAACTTGCTCCATATAATCCATTCACATGATGAGCTTATGTCTGTCAAAAATCAAAGGAAGCATGTGATTAACCAAAATGAAGGGACAAACTGGAATAACATTGAAAATTCATGTCAACCCCAATTTGAAGTTGAACCAAATATATTTGAAGATGATAATTTATATTATAATGATAACCTACCTTACTTGAATGATCAAAGTCAGATGATTGCATTACACTATGTTTTGCAACTAAAGAAGAAATATGCGAAATTGGGAAAGGATATATTG